CTGCAGAGTTTAGCTCCAACCCTATAATCAAACAAACCTACCTGTGATTTTCTAATGATCCTGAAGACATTGATTAGCAAACTCAGGTGTGTTTGATTAGGGTAGAGCTAAACTCTGCAGGAAAGTGGATCTCGCGAGCCAGATTTGAGGATCACTGCTTTAGGGTCTTCATGAAATGTCTGCAACATACTTTAGTCAAAATTCCGCAGTGGTCATGTAAGGGTACATTCACATGGGGCGTCAGCGTTAACGCTTCTCATTTACTTTGAATGGGTGATGTCATGCGTTGCCGAACTGAATTTTGGGTCCGTCGGCGTCACGTCACTGGCGTTGCTTGCGGCAGAAGTTGAACATTTCTCAACTTTTAAAGCGCCAACGGAGGCGTCAGCCAATCAGATCGCCTTATGCAAATAGCCTAGCTCAGCCGCTAACCAATTGCGGTCCAATGTTGTTGGACTATGTTGCTGTTGTTACGATGACGATCTCGTCAGCACCAAGCTTCAGACACGCCCTCCGTCAAGCATTGACACCGACGCCCCGTGTGAATGTACCGTAAAACAACACCCTTTTTACCCCGGCAAAAACAGCTCTGTTCACAGTGACCCGTTTTGGTGCATGCCTCTTTAAATGCTAATGAGCTCTGCTCACCCCCAGGGCGGATTTTCCAAAAACTTTGTTGAATGAACATGAGCACTGTCTGCATGTTTAAAAATCAAAATGCGATGCGGGTGTTTTTATATGAATGTATCTTTGAAGGGGACCATCTGTCTTCAGAAAAGCTTCGATGTCATTTTCATTTCATCTTTCCTATAAAGTCTGGTAAAGTAGCGTTTATGAGCAGAGCGCTGCTTTGTTTACAGCCATTACAGCCAGAAACTGCTATTTCTGCCGCTCCAAAAGCGCCTCCCGCTGGCAGAGAATGAATTAGCATTTTCAATCAGCCCGTCAGCTGTTTTCATTCAGACCAACGTGGAAATCCACTGAAGTTTTTACGCAGCAAACATGCAGAGCAGTTGTAAATGTGAATCGGTATATGTATACTGTATATATAGATTTCCCCCGGGGGAAGTACCGCCACACACAGAGGCGATTTGCAAATAATCATAAAAATATAAAGTGTTACTTCTTCAGGATGTGCAGCTGAATCACAAACAGCAGGTACTGGTGCATCCTTGAGTTTTCACTTTTTAGCAAACCTGCCTTGAATTGTCAAGACATTGTTCAGAAAGCAGTCTGGAGTAAAATGATTTAAGCAGACATAATGAATTTAGGTGTATTCGGTGGCGCATTACCATCAAAAACAAAACTAATCCACTGCGTCCTCAGTGGATCTTATATTCACTTTTACATCCAGCTACAAAACACCTGCAGACAGTGTAGAACTGGCTGAGGGCGGAAATATCATAGATATACATATTAGGGCTGCACGATAAATCGCATGCGATATTTAATGCGCATCTTGTCAGAAAGCCGGTTCTGTAATCTGACGAGCTGCGCAAAACCACGTTCATATTCGCGCGATTTTTTGCGCAGCTCGTCAGTGAACAACGGCTCTGTGTAGTTAATGCTGCTCAATGTGAAAGCACGCACGTGATGGAGATTTACCGCTGATTACAGAACCGGCTTTACTGATAAGATGCGCGTTAAATATCGCATGCGATTTATCGTGCAGCCCTAATACATATCTATGGGAAATATGCTAATACGGGACAGTCCGTCAGCGGTTGTAGGCGGGGCCTGAGCAGTATGACGTCATACTGCTCAGAAAATCAAAACGGCTTGATAACTGACTGTTCAGATTTTTTGGGGATTAAAAAAGTAGTGAATGGATTTTTATCCTTGTAGGGTGTTTGTGTCCACACACTGCTAAGACACATTATATGCAAACACCATGTAAAAGTGAATTTTGCATCCGAGGTCCCCTTTAAAGTAATAAAGTTTGCATGTGTGAGTATGAGCCAAAGATCTCACCCAGGTAATAGATGTTGGGGGCCACCCATCCTCCGTATGGTAGCTCCTGCAGGTGGTTTGATGCCTCATGGTTTCCGCCAATGAAAATTGTCAGGACAGGAGCCTTTTTCTCACCAGAGTAGTACCTTGAGAAAACCGATTGACATGAGAAACGATGATCGACCAATACCAACGCAATGTTTATTTAAAATTCACTAAAATATATTTGACTTCAAATAATTCTCAAATAAATATGCAATCACTGTGTATAGTCTGTCTCTGTAGTACAATACATTACTCTCATTCAAATATTTAATTAGATAACGTTATCTGTCTACTGAATAATACCAGGTGTTTCCTTACTTGTAGAAAGTTTGCATGTGTCTGTATTTGGCAGGCACCGCCATGCACTTCATGTCTCCTTCATTTCTGACAGCCTGGAAGTCTCCGCAGCAAAGCAGCAGATCCACCTTCACATCTTCTTTATTCTCCAGGTAACTGATGCTCTCATAGATTTTATCTAGCTCTCCATGACAACAGCCTTCTACTGCCACCTTCATCCTTGTATCTCTAATTCACAGCCTTACACTCAAAGACGACAAATCGCGTTACCCATCGCACAGAAGGTCAAACCTTTACATCTTTGACATAATTCTTTCAATAGCCGTTTTGCCTCTCTGCACTCACTCACATGCTACTCTCTGCACATGCGCAGAACGGTCATGTGACCAGTGCACAAAATCCATTTTTATTCTTCATCCGCACTTTGCGTAATTTATATTAGTTCTTCATTTAATAATAATAATAATAATAATAATAGTAATCTTTGATCAGCATTCGGTGTGTACGTTAATAATCAATCAATCAATCAATCAATCAATCTTTATTACAGACTCAAGGTCCAAATTAATAGTATATGGAATGTATATAATTTATAATGAAACAGCGATGCAAAATTTAGCAGGATTTTGTTTGTATAAGAATGAACTAAAATAACTGACAGAACTGACCAAATGTCTGTTTGGACCTTTTTTTATGTAATACTCACAATTTTCTACTGTTAAATACCTCGTTTTTACTTTTTCATTTCTTTGTATTACTATTCATACCAATACATTTTTGTTGTATTGAATTTGGCAAATAATGAAGAAGAATCAAAGAACTCTGAATTTGAAACTGAAATACCAGTGTGGAAATAGCAGCCAGTAGCAATACGCTTTGTCACGTGGTGCATGTTATTTTTCTTAGCGATATTCGGGAAGGACCAATCAAATCCCTTATGATTAATAAACAAACGATTTCTCCAATCACTTAAAAGAGAATGCTGCATCGGATGATAATTTTTATGTCAAGGTACCAAAATGTGAAATTCGTTAATGGGAAAAAACATATGATTTTTGGTGCGCAAATGTCAGCTGTAAGATGCTTCTCTTTTTTTCTCATTTTTTAAAATTTAAAAATAAGTAATATATAATAAATAATATGTGAGTAATGAGCAATAGTTATTACTCTTTAAATTATACATTTCTTTTTAATTTTACATTTAATTTAATTCGTTGATTTAAAAAAAAAGCAAATATAAGCAAATAATAATAATTAAATAGGATTAAGTGGTGTGGAAAGTGCTGCACTGCATGTTCTGCTGAATCAAGCTTGTGGAGAAAGTGCTGCTGTAAATACTCCGCTAGCTGAGCTGTGTTTGTGTGGAAAGTGCCGCTGTGAATGTTCCGCTGAGTGAATGATGGCGTGCCTGCTGGAGGCCCCCTTACGCATCAGCGTGTTATCTGTGAGTCTCTTTGATTATACCCATTAAAACCTCACATTTTCACTTCAGGATCACTCAGATATACATTAGACACATTAGATAGAATTTAGCGATTGATCTTAAATTAAGCGATGTGGTTTTTGATGACTGGCTGTGTGTTTATTCGGCTTCTGTATGTGCTCAGAGCTGTCAAATCAAAGTTGTATTTAGTTTACAGTCTCTATTTAGAGCTGGGGCTCCAAAAACAAAATCAAACCTGCTTGATATTCTCTGATGAAGCGGTTAAATGATGATCTGATGGGCTAATGTGGTGGTAACGCCCCCCTTTTGACAGCCCTGTAGTTCTGTCCTGTGTGTTTTAACACATGTTGATCTGCTTTCACTGTGGTGGAGCTCAGGTGCAGTGATGCTGTCAGATGATGTTGTATACTCTGATGGTATTGCATGTTACTGGATGATTACCAATCTCATCTGTCCCGGTATTCACGTAGTACTTTAAATGGTAGTATATATAAAAAAAAAAACATTAACATGATGCTTTTTTTGTTGGGGACATCATTCCGAATTTAGCCTTCATGTTCGGTTAAAGATAATTAACCGAACATGAAGGCTAAATTCTAAATTCTGATCCTTCACATACTTTGAATGTGATCCTCTGATCTAATCAACCCAGTAGAGTGATATTGTTTTTTGATATTGAATAAGCTTTAACCCTTTGTTGTATGATAAGCTCTTTTCAGAAAAGTTAATTTTTATCACATATATTAACACTGTTTCTCTCTAAAGTCAATTTATCACATTTATTTCAAAGAGGTTTCTGAGACTCTTTTTTTTCTGAGACTATCATTTTTTTAATCAGTACGAATTTTTGTTTAGTTTTGTTGTTTGTAAAATTGTGATGCGCTGTCTTAAAATGAATTAAATATTAATTATGTGTTTTGAACTGTAAAAGGGTCTTGAACGTCTTTTAGATCCCAAACAGAACATGAGGACTAAGATGTAAGGATGTTGTAACTGTGCTATTTTTTTTATTAAAAAAATATATAATATATACTAGTACTACATATGCTTGTCTATAAGCTTATATCTGTTAGTATATGAATTGCACCATAGTGAGAATAACCTATGATACAAGACTAGTTTAGCACTGGATTCCATAGAGATCTTATTTCAGTATGTCAAATAAATGTTAATTAGTCATGTTGCAAGAATTTCAACTTGATTCTTTTTCCATGTAATGATGTCTAAACTGACCGCTGAATAATTATTTAGGGCTGGGTAATCATAGAGACATGTAATACTGTAATTAAAAAAATTATCCCAAATTATTCAAATACCTTGTTTAAGTCTGTTAGAAACTAATTTGTGCCAGAACAGGTTAGGTTGGTACAGCGAAACACCATTATGTTACATTATGTTATGAAATTGTAGAGTACATGTGTGGATGTGATGTTTTATAGCATGAAGTGACATTTATAGCAGTGCCAACTGATTGCATATATGCCTTGGTATGTTTGGGGTGGCCGTCATTCCCACTTTTCTCTGGCCTGAAATTGTCACCTCTGCCTGTGCAAGTGAGCTGCAGTGTTTGAGGAGATGGGAAATCTCCTTCTAGAGTCTTCCACCAACAGCTGGCAACTGTAAGGGTAAACAGACCAAAGTATTGTGACCCTGTGAGCCAAGGAGGCTATGGGGCAAGACTGAGGGTGTTGTGATGCCTCAGATGAGATGACTTTGTGCTGTCATTTGTCACTATGCAGGAAGTCACAGCCACGAGTCGCCACTATGTTGACCGGCTTTTTGACCCCGACCCACAGAACGTGCTGCAGGGAGTCATGTGAGTAAACAACCATGTGTCCTTCCTTGTGTGTGAGCGCTCTGCTCTGTGTTATAGTTCACCATGCTCACTTTTCTGAGTGCTAAAGATTAGGCTGTCACCATAGGAAATTTAGTCCTTAGCATATGTGCGTTATTTATTTTTTATTTTGTATCATGTAAGACGCTGTGAGGTGCTGTACTTAGCCTATGTGAGTGTATCTGTGTTTATGTGAGTGTATCTGGGTAGCTGCGGCTCAGGTCTCTTCATCTTTATTTTTAACTCAGCGCTTCAGCTCTGGTTACTGTTAGCTTGATGTTTCCCGACTGCCACAGCCATACTTTTCCAAAGATACAGATCCTCCATCAGATCAGGCATCAACTAACACATTAAAGGGGTCATATGATGCTAATTTAAAGATCATTATTTGGTGTATTTGGTGTAACAGAAGTGTTACTCTGCGCTGCTCAAAACTCCGCATTTGAACAGTCAATAGCAAATACTTAAACTAATAACAAAACATACTTACAGTCGCTGATTCAGAAGCGCCAGATTGTCATAGCAAAGTCGGAATTGACCCTTTTTTTTTTTTTTTTGAAATAGCCTTTGTGCATTGCCAGCTTTGTACTCTTCTAGGTTCAAAAAACTGTCGTCCATAAAATGCGTTGCACAAATTCGAACATCTGGGTTGTGCTGTTCTGTTGTAAATAAATCTTAACCAATGATTCCTAATTGCATCTACTTCCGGAAGGCCAAATGAAGTGCTTTTGCTTTTGCACTGAAACACACTTCGTCTCCCTGACATGGCTGCATCAACACTACTGCTGTTCCTGAAACCACGCCTTCTTTCTTTGCGTGCACATTTGGGCGGCATTATGCTAATATTTCCACATAGTGACGTAGACATGTGGGGGCGTGTTAGAACGAGCCGTTTTAGGTAGGCGTGGCTGACTCTTAACTTTTATAAAGAATATCTCTTTGGATTTGAGACTTTAGTCTTTGCAACTTTACAGATCTTATTTATGCACCAAGAGCTTGTAACACTCCAAAGAGAAAGGAAAACTTGAAATCGCATCATATGACCCCTTTAAGTTTTTTGCTTTTATCCTGATTTAAAGTCATATCAAAATCATTTTGGCAAGATGAAATCACAGAGATGCAACATTGATACTGTTGTTATAATCAGTAGGAAATGCTGGTTTCTTTCTGGGTTGGTGGCTTTAAGAATTATGATGAATAACAATTTGCTTCTGCCATCATTAATGCTTTATCCAAATCCAAATCGACACAAGTATGTAAATAAATAAGAAACAACAATGGAGTGTCTTAAAAAAACATTACTTCCTTCTGGAACGGATTCAAATCTCAGTTTGACAGTTTAACAGCTGATCCCAAGCCCCTGTTACTAATTCGAAAATGTCACTTTAGAAGTAGTAAAGGAACGTTGAGTTTCTTAATTGAAGGCTTATTGCATTACTGTATTGTGTAGAGTAGAGTATTATGAGAGAGAGATGGGCTGAGCAAGTGTGATTACCTGCATCTGATACAGCATTCATTCTTCAGCTCAATCTCATATATAAAACATTTGTTTGAATGTCCACTGAGGAAAGCGATATCTTTGTCGTGCTGTCCTTTCATCTGTTAAGGGTGATTTCTGATGACAGCGCTGCTCACTGCATTTGTTTACGTCTTACAAGGTGTTGTTGAAAGTAAAAATAACAAAAATTGTATTTTGTTTACACCCCTGTTTCAGTCTCTTTCAATATAAAAGTATTGACTGCTGACTCGCTCATAAATACAGTCTCTTGTCGCCATCTAATGTTGAAGCAATGTAACTTAAATCATCGTCACGAACACACACACCATTTCTCAATACCAAATATACTTTATTAAACTCTACCAGGGGCGGACTTACCCATTAAGCAAAGGTCGGCGACCGCCTTTGGCCCCAAAAAGCCAAGGACCCCCTAAAATGCTTTTTATATGCAAGATGCGCATTAAGAGCAGACACTTGAGCGGTTGCTGTTTACGGTGTTTATTACCACGACAACCGTCTGTGTGTCCGCGTTGAACGTGATTCTTGTGTATCTTACTTGTAGCAAATGAAAATATTATGCATCTGAAACAGTCTGCAGTTTTTGTTCAGACC